TCTTGTATAGATCATATAGTCCATCAAGGAGCAGTGTAGGGCTCCATTCAGGTTTTTGATGTTTTTCTCTGCAGCTTTTGTACAGTTTTGCTATAATAGGCAGTGAAGATGTTTAAACCATAAATTATAACATTTCAGTTTCTGACAGAAGGCTGTTTCCATATGGCCTGATACTGGACCCACTTGCCTTGGTTGAGCAGCTCTTGATGTCCAGTAGCATGATTGGGGTAAAAAAACCCTGACCAACCAACCAAAAGCCTCCCAAACTTCCCCAATTTACAATATTCCAAAGAATGTGGGAACTGGCTGATAAGTGTCTTACTGGAGAGCAGCACAAGTGGAAAGGCCTAAAGCATTGTGACATCAGGACAGTGCCTTCCTGATAAGAGGAATCTTAACTGTGTATCTTCCTGAAGGAGTTGACCACTCATGACACACATTCATGGGTTGTCATGTAGAGCACCTTGGTTTGGAGGTGGAGATAGATTTGCTTCAGCATTTGGCTTCTTAGGCTGAGCTTTTGCACCAGCTTTTCATCTGGGGTGTGTACCAGTGTTACACCTAGTAGCAAAGGCTGTCTATCTGTAACCTGTTTTACTCATCTGAACTTCGTGGTAATTGGGGATTTTTCAGAATAATGAGGATATAGCAGATATTAACCATGTGATATCTAAGAAGAATTACAGCATTTCAGGCAGGAATCTGGTGCTGAGTTGTCCTAGCTTTGAGAGTTGGACACTTGGCCTTCGGGAGACTGAGAAGTTCCAAAGGTCAGCTGCTGGTTCCTTTTCCCTTCTGTGTTTTGGTCTCTTATTTCAGATCAGCTGGGTATACGAATGAGTGAACAGCATCACCTCTGTCTTTTAGCCAGCAACTGTTGCTTGCTCAGGGTTAGATATTTTTTTCAGCAGCACTTTTTCCAATTAATATTTTCACTGAATATATATTTTCTTGTGTCACTGGAAAAATAAGCACTAAAGTTAGACCAAATTTTAGTCTAAAGGTACCATTTTTAAAGAATATCGTTGCACAGCTTTCTTAATAATCTTGCAGCTGTAAAGTTGTTAGAACAGGATGCAAACACCATGCAATATCCTGCTGAAGGTAGAAGACACATTACTTCAATGTAGTTGGCCGAATTAATTTCTTCTCATGCTAAAGCACATAAGAGTCTGCATAGGATAGCATTAAGAAGGATATATTATATTCTCAAACCTACAGTAAAAATATGTGAAATATGTGGAAGAGATGTTTTTATGTATTTCTTGAACAGAAAAGGATATAACAAGCAATACATTAGTCTATTAACATTAATTACAGTGCTTTTTTTACTCAAGTAAATTAAGAAATAGTGAGTGGTTGGCTAATCCTGTTTTCACTTTCCTCCTTGTACTCTGTTGTTGTGGCTTTTGACAGAATTCTAGTTTGTAAATGAGGAGCCAGTAGCCCTTTGGTGCTATGACTGCACTCTTGAAGGCTGGTTTTTTTTTGACATGTAGTTTCCACTTCAGAATTATGTACTCTTAAATTTTTTTTGTGGAATAAAACTAAACACATCATTTATGAGGCTGGTTTTTATCTCTTATTTCCAAGTTCAAGCTTATTGTGAACTTCTTTATTGTCCCTCACTTCGCTCTCCAGTATGTTTTTATATAACAGGTAAACCACCAGTTCTATGCAAATTATTCTCTTTAAATGGAAGAAAGAAAACTGCTGGTATAAATATGAAATAATAATACGTAACAGCTGTTAGAATTCTACATGCAGAAACCTGATGTGTCTTTGAAGAGGTATTAAATTTCTTAAAAGGCCTTCTATTCTGGCTAACATAAAACAATGAAAAATAAATTCTAGAAGGACAAGGTTATCATGTGATATATGATTTTCTGTTTTTTTTCCTTTGGAGATTCCTTTTTAATTTTGTATGGCACATGCTGTACATACCTATCTTAAGAATTAGTTACATTTTTTAGCTGGATATCAGTCTGTCCACTGCTGTGAAAGATAATAAAAATTATTAAAGGTTTGTACAACACCTTTATTCTCTATATATTAAAACTGCAATGTTTAAAATGGTCACTTATGGATGGAGAAGTCAGTCCTACATGTTATGAAGTGCTCTTTCTTCCTGTCTAAGGGAAGGTGCTTTAAAATACTTGAGTTGATACAAAAGAAAAGCAAATTTGCTTCCAATTCTGTGTATTATTAGCTCTGCTTTTTATGTCTTTTTCCAATTTTAATAATGGTGTATGATTGCTATTATAAGGCTGTGAACAGCAGCAGAACTTCAGAGGTAAAAATTACATTTCTGAAGTTTGGTTAATAGAGGCTGTTAGAAAACATGGTGAGATGTGGTTTAAAAATAAGTCTGGAGATAGAAAGTGTGTATGGACTTTGCATGTATGTTTTTTTTTTCAGTTAAAGGCGTTTTGTTCAGTGTTTGCTGAAGGCAAGCTCATCCTTTTAAAGCTAAGAAACTGAAGGGCTACTGTAAGGTACACAAGGGAAGGTTTGAATGGAAGTGTAATCTCTGTTACCAGTCCTGTTTATGCAGCAGTAGAGGAAAAAAAAAAAAGCTTTTGAGTACACAGCTCTAGGAATAGAAAGCAGTAAATTTTGAGGTAAATATAGTTCAAGGAAAAGTCATCTGAAATTAATTTTGCAAATCGATTAGACAATTTTGAGAAGCAATAACAACATAAAATGCTAAAATTACATTAATTTTGATACTGCAAACTGACCAATGTATCCAAAATACCCAGAAATTTCTATACAATCTGGTTTGCCAAGAAACTCATCTTTATAGGTGCTTTTTCTGTTGATGGAATTCCATTGATCTTAAATGGGACTTTCCATTGTTTTGGACATCTGTGTGCAGCTTCTTTAGCAGAAGGAGACCTTTGTGGATACCAGAGGGAGTGTAGAGTGTGGGTTCATTTTCTTTTTTGGGTTCTTTGTTGTTGTATCAGTGACAAACTGAAGCTGATTTTATGCTCTGCAACTTTTTCTAGATAGTTTTGAGTGTCAGAACTGAGGAATATGTATGTTTGACAAAATAATGATGCAGAGCAGTGCCAATAAGTGAAAGCAGTGCAACTGTTTCCTTTCTTTTATCTTGCTGAAATTATTTTCTGTCATTTACTCTTGTGCCTTAGCTTGATAAGGCACTCATCTCTCCAGATACATATACTAGATGAGTGGAGATAAATACAAAATAAAAATATTGGAATAGTTGCAGTAGGGAATAGTAAGAATGTTGCACCTACGTTTTGAGGGGTTTGAGGCATAATTCTGAGAAATGTATTTCTAGGTCTCTTGCAACTGCTTAAATAAATACAGGTTTTCCAGGCAGTATCTAGCCAAGTTTGCCGAAGAAGGCTTTGATATAAATAGAGGTTCTAAATATTTGACACAGACTTGTTAGCAAGACATTTAGTGACTTCCAGCTGATGAAGGAAGACATTTAAAGCAGGCAATTGCTGTTTTCTGTCTTGGTACTGGGAAACTGAGTGCTAAGTGCTCTACAAAAAGTGCAGCAAGCTCAGTCCTCAAGAAAGAAGAAAATGAGCATAATATTGCACTGAAAATAAGTAAGCTGTTTAACACGATTAAAATCTGACACAATCCCAAAAATAACTGGATAGTAGTATTACCTTCTAATGTTATTATTCTGCTACCAGAATGACTGAGCACATTGGTCCCTCACACTGAAATGGAAAGGCCTTCAGGCTGTAGAATAGCCTTAAACTACTATCGTACCTTTTCCTATGAATGCCACAGAACTTGTTCCCACCCCAAAATTAAACTTTAAAAAAAAAAACCCCAAACCCCAAAAAGTTGATTTATGGATTTGTCCTGATATCAGGAGTGTTCTCTTTGCCATTCTTTCCAAGAAGGCCACTAATGGCCACTGTACATCCTGTGCTCCTCTGTGGAGGACCCTGAGAGTGGGTGCATAATAGCAGAGCTGCCTCCTTCTTCTCAGGTACATTGACTTTAGAGCTCTGATAATTGCTTGCAGAATTCCCCATGGGATAGGTCCTACATACTCTTATCTTGCAGGTTTTTAATAGTTACAATGTAGGTGTAAGTCTTCAGTTGGCCTTTAAAGGCTGTGGCAAAAAGAAAGCTTAGTAAGTGACAAGAGCAGTTCTTACAGGAAAATGAGAAGCTGCTCTTAAGGATTCTGGATTTCACTCAGAAAAACCCTCTATCAAGCTTTGGTGGATTTTGTAGTCCTTGAAAGATTTTTTTTTTTAAGGTTTATGGTAGAATCATATCAGTTGAGAAATAGAGAATAGGTGCTTCTTATTCGTCCTTCTTGCTTGGCACCCATGCATTTCACCTGCTTCTTGGCCAAACTGCAGATGTGGGCTGTATGTCCAGAGTTTTCTTTCAAGGCTGTTAAGGAAATCAAATTAGTTACTCAAAACATTGGCTAGATTGGGAAATAAAAGTTGTAACTTTGGATTTGCTAATAGAGAGCTTTTGCAGTTTTGTTTTATAATTAAAGTGGACAGATGTGGTGAGGATGAGGACCAATAAATGCACAACTTGTTAACTCATTCGCACTATTGCTTCCAAGAAATTTCAGGAAGAGGTGTCTGGAGAAAAGTCTTTTCTTTTGAAATACATGTTTCTGGCAGGGCTAAAGATGTATTTGTATTGTTTTGGACATAGCTGAGAAGACTGTTGATACTAGTCTCCCTCACTGGTGATACTCAAGAAATATCTTGATGCAATCCTGTACAGTGTGCTCTGGGATGACCCTACTTGAGCAGGAAGCTTAGATCAGATGACCCACTTTGATTCCTTCCAACCTGACCTAATCTTTGATTCTAAGATTTATTATAAGTATAAGCTTGGATACCTGAAAAAAAATTGTTTAAATAAGTGGTTGAAACAGGGTTAATCATTAACTCCAGTGGGAAATACTTTGTGTCATTAAATTTGATTTTATCAGGAAGTTAAACAATATGTTGTTTTTCTTTTCTCTCATTGCAGCCTGTGCTTTCCGTTACAATGGGCTCTCCTTTGTCTACCTCATCTACCTCCTGCTCATTCCTCTGTTTTCAGAACCCACAAAAGCAACGATGCAAGGTGAGAAGTTCATTGCTTCATTCTTCAGAGTCTGTGGTGCACAGTGTACTTGCAAAAACTTTGGTGTAGTAGAAGGTGAAGTTCTGAGAGTTTTAGCACTGCTGGCCATTCCTTTTTATGGCTTTATTACCTCTGGAATACTGACTGGTCTGGGTAAAAAATGAGTTTCAAGAACCCTCTCAAAGCCATCCTATCATAGATTGTGCTCCAGGTGTGAATTGGTAATTAATTATGAGAATTAAATTTGTTGTCAAATTTTTCATTCAATGGTATTTTAAGTACTTATTTAAACAGCTGTCATCCTGGCATTATACCTCTGCCTTAGCAAAAATAACTCGAAGGGCTTGCTGTTGGAGATGACAAATAACTGCGTCAGGCATTCAAGCATTTATGTCACATACAGAGGTGTGCCTTGTCTACAGCAAGAATGTAATGCTGCTGAAAAGGGTGTTTACAGTCCCCTGTTAATGGGGGAGGAAAGGGCTTCCTTATAGTCTTGCTCAGGGCCCCATCAAACCTGGCCTTGAACACTGCCAGGAATGGGATATCCACAACTTCTCTGGACACCCTGTTTCAGTGTTTCACTACCTTCTGAGTAAAGAATTTCTTCCTAATATCTCATCCAAACCTGCCCTCTTTCAGTTTAAAACCATTGCCTGTTGTCCTGTAACTATCTGCCTGCTTGAAAAGTCCTTAGCCCTCCTTTTTATATGCCTCCTTTAAGTACTGGAAAGCTGCAATGAGTTCTCCCTGGAGCCCTCTCTTCTCCAGGCAGAACAATTCCAGCTCTTCAAGCCTGTCTTTGTAGGACAGGTGTCCCTGTCTTTTGGTGGGGATCCATACCAATCATGTGAGCTCAGTTTATGTTGTCTGTGTCCATAGCCAGTGGAACCAGGAAAAGCAGGTCTGAAAAATAACTTAAACAAGCATAAAAAGTGGGAAATCCCACTCGTGGTGTAAGGCTGTCAGTCATTTTTATAGGGGACTATTACAAGGACAGTGTAAGCCTGGAACATCTGTGTCCAGCTGTGAGTTAGTTTCTCTTAGAGATGCTAAAAGTATGAATTGAGAGGGAAACACTCATTGGGAATTTGGTTGCAGCTGCTAAGAAAATATGCAATTACCCTACTGGTTTTGTGTGCTTTACTTTTGCTGCCCCTTCTGTGTGTGCCCAGAGATTGACAGGATAAACAGAGCCATTTTCTAGATGCCAAGAGTGACAGTGGAGAGACATATAAATTCTCCTCTTTTAAAGTATAAAAAAGTCTATTTGAGTAGGGCTAATTCCTGTGTGACTTAATAGAGTCATCTAGTTTGCATCACTGATGCTAGAAATATCACCTCAGAGGAAAATGATTTCTTGGGACTTTGGATAGTTTCTCTGCATTGTGTATCCCATTGCATTGCACTTCACCTGAATGTCATGCTATGATGTGTTTGTCAGAATTAACTCCTTATATAAATTTAGTATTTCTGAGTGTACCCATTTTTCCCACTGTCCCTGTCACATTTCTAAATTGTGTATGTGTGTAGGTGTATCTTCCTAGAAAGTTTTCAGGGTTGTTTTTGGGTTTTTTTTGTTGTGTCCAGAACACAGAAAAGAAAAATGAAATGTTTTAGCTAAAACCAGTGAAACCACCAGTAAATCAGAGTCAAGAAACAAATGAACTTTACTGAAAAGAGCCCCCAAAAACAAACCAAATATATGTTTATGTACTTAACTTGTATTTTTCCCCTAAAACTTCTGTTACTCAGATAGTATTTTTTTCCTGAAATTGTTTCTTTTGATTAAATTATTTTTATTCTTTTGAACTTTCTAGTTTTCCACTTATCTTTTCTTTCCTCATCATCTCCTGACACACTCAGCTCCTCATCAAAATCTCTGACCAGCATTCCTATCTCTTGCACTTTACAGTAACTGAATTTATGAAGCTTCTCTCCACCAAGCCTAAGGGTTTTACAGTGTAAAGAATTAGAAATTAATCTGAAATGGATGATGTCATGACATCTACATTAATTTAAATTTTGACAGAAACTTAAAAGGTTAGAAACACTGGAGAAAGACTATTATACTCAAATAGTTCAGATGGTGTTTAAAGATTAATGAGTAATTTTTTTTTCCTTCTTCCCCCTAAAAATTTTAATCTTCTTAAAAAGATTAATTACTAAGATAAAGTAATCTTAATCCTTAAACATGAAGATATAAATCATTGTCTGATTCTCTGCCTATGTTCCATGGATTAGTTTCAATTCAAACTGAAGGATTTGTCTCCCGTACTGAAAAATAAGTTGGTATTTTACCTGTCAGCATCTTAAAACTAGCCTATGGAACATAGGCAGAGATAACTGTGTAAAAAGCATTCATTGCAAATAACATCTTGTCTACAGGAGTAACTTAAAACTTGACCAGTTTTTCAAGGGTGGCTAATGGGAATAGTTTTTGAGACATTTACCTCTTTGCATGTGTAGTGAAGCCCCGTAATTTCAGCAGTAATTTTTCTATATGAATTATCTCTAAAATCAGGAACTGATTTGTTACCTATTTCTCTGGCAATGACAAATACACAGTAAATTGTGCAACAGCCTGGTTTCTAAGTGATTGTGACATTGTTCATATTTTTTTTTTCTTTTGTGTCTAATATCTACTGCAGTTCTGTGTTCATCCTTAATAAAGTCTTGTACGTTATGTTTTTGTAGGAATAATGAAGCATGACAACATAGATTGGTCCTGTCTTGGGCCAATGGCTCATTAACTGTACAAAATATCTGGTTTATGTGGCTTATTTTTTCCCAGTAAGAGATGTGAGTTTACATTTAGATAGGTTTTATTTTACTTTATTTAATTTCCTATTTTTTGATTAATAAGACTCTGTAGCCAGTCATGTAAATAAAAAAAAATGAGGGAGGGAATCAGTTGATTTCACACATTGAGTAGTCTTTTGCTCAGTCTGCTTATGTTAATGGAAAAAAGAATGGATTTGCTTCTGAATTAACACACTGCTCAGGATAACAAAACTTGTATCTCTGTTGTAAAAATGAACTTGGCACAGCACTCAGATCAGTAAAAATGGTGTTTTAAAAATGTGTAGATTGATAAAATTATGAAATATAATCCAAAAAAATATTAATTGAGAATTATTCTGAGTGTGGCTGAAATCGTAATGAAATGGAACAGTTGTTTTGCAGATATTAAAGGGTTTGTGTTTTGCAATAATCTGCACAGAATTGTAAAATGCAGAAGGATTGCAGTAACAAATTTGGATCACCTAATATATATTAAGGCTTTTCAGCAGAGAATTGATCCAAGTGAATATGGGAAAAAAATTTTTACAAACATTATTTTGAGTTTTGTATGACAGCAATGCCCCAATGTGCACTCATTAATTCTATGATGTATCTGTTTTACTAGCAGTCTTTTTACACTCACCTGCATTTGTTCTTTGAATTTCACATTAACTTTAAGGGAAGTGCAGCTTGAATTTTGACCTATTCTTTGGTAGATTTACAATACTCTTCAGTCAAATTAGATTTAAGTTTATGTGATTTTGAGGAGAGTTTCACCTGCATTTTACCTGCATAACAACAAAGATGATTTGTTTGTTTCTTGGAAAATTATTTCTTGCCTGTTATCTTTAAGTTATCATTAGAAAGTACTTCGGGCAGTGATAGAAATGGTGATTAAATTAGGTGGGAGAACTCTTTGGAATGTCTTTGAAACCACTGAGTTTCTTTGTACTAGCCCAAAACATCAGTGTGAAGATATTTTTATAAGTTAGAAAATGCTGTTCAGCAATAAGAAATGGGATTTCTACTGGATTAGGCACATGTTCTTGGGCACATGCCAGGCTGCTACATAAACATTCTTTGACTTAAAACACTGCATCTCAGCTAGGTTTCACCACTCCCAACATTATAAGGTATTCTCTTGGGAGAGAAGAGAGGAGTGTGTTATTTATAATCAGCAGGCCAAATCCAGTAAGTACTTGTTCACGGAAAGTTTGGCTCTGTGAGAGTGAAAATGAAGCGAAACCTTTACATTAACCACCTTCAGAAATGTTCTTGCATCTTAAGAGCTAATGAACATTTGTTATTTGTACTGTGTGCTTCTTCACTATTTTCTTAGGAGATGAATTAGAACCCCCTTCAGCTAAGTGAGAGTGAACTCACAAGAAGCATTGGGCTGGCAGTGTGGGGTACTGTCTTAAGTTGTGGGTGATAACAAATACTTGTGGCTTTCTCGCTGCCTTGTAATGCTGTTCCCAAATGGGATATTCTGCTCTCAGAATGGACACTCCAGTGCCTGAGCTCTTTCACTTTTTGGCTTTTGCAGACTAGATTGTAAGCAGGGATTCCCAGTAATTGGTTGATTAGACAATGTGTCACCCATTTTCATTATCATGTTTTATATGAGTGCTGGAAATTTGGATTTTTTGGATCCAGGTATGGCAGAAATTCATCAGTTTGTTGATTGAAGACTTGTAAGCAAAGCAAAGCCATCAGAGCTGGGGCAGGAATACAGAAGTCAGGAGGAGAAAATAACTAGAATTTTTTTTAACTTGCAATTAACTATTTGATATGGACTTCCTTTTGTGTGGTTGTCGATGACATGAGTCTTTGCCAAGACTCATTTCCCTTCTCTACATTTGAATCTTTCCAAAGAGGGCAAAAATTCTTCAGAGGCTATTGAAATAAGATGTTTTGAATTGGACTGGTGTGGGGTTTTTGGATAGTGGTGGAAATCCTAAATTGTACAAGAAAAAGCCAACTTAAGGAAGGCTGACACTGTCACAAACTGTTTCCATTGTAGAAATGAGCACTTTTATAGCTGCATTAGATTTTGAATTATTTAGTTTATTTTAAAGCAGTATTTCTCCTGACATATTAAATAACATTTGTTTTAGAGAAAGAAAAAAGTCAGTTTGGGATCACCTGGAAGTGACCTCTTTAGTTATTTTAATGTTTCAAGTCGATCCCCTGCCCTGGTGATAGTCAGCTTCAAA